AGGAAGGAAGGAAGGAAGGAAGGAAGGAAGGAAGGAAGGAAGGAAAAAATAATACAAGAATAAATTCCATATTGCTATTTCCTATGCCACTCCAAAAATATATATTTAACTTTCTTACTTTAAACACTTTGATTTGACAGCTGGCTGAATGCAGATGATCAGTATATTCTCCATTTTCTGCTTGTTTAAAAGTGTCAACCTGTATTCTAAATGGAACTCCTTTCTCACCTCCATGTTTCCGAGGTGTAAATTCTGTGCTAATACAATGTACCTAAAAAAAAAAAAAATCAAAGCAAACCAAAGTATCATGCAAAGATACATTCTGTTTCTTTGTTTTTAACAGACATTTTAGATTTATACAGTACATTGTTGTATTAAATTAGAAACTGTTGCCACAGGGAGATAAATCATTGAATCATATATTTCAAACAATTAGTATTTAAAAAAAATACAATATACATTATTAGATCAAAAATAAAACTATTACAGATATTACCCAGGCTAAAAAATGGAACTCAAGATTCAGAAGCTTTAAACTTTTGAATGCCAAATGACAAGGACAAACAGGAGAAAAACGTATTTTTACCATAATGTTTCTCTACCTGGATTTGAGATCCCTAGAGTTCTACCAGGTAAGGTAACTTAAACATATTGGACCAGCAGGAAGTACAGGATATGTGTAAAACTGTAAAAAAAGTCCATCATAATAAAGGCAGATTTTTTACTATGTGTGGAGGATGTTTAGTGCATGCCTGTTGACATTAAAATCACTTCAAATCAACACCTCCACTTCAAAAAAATCAGGGCAAGTATTTTGATTCTAATAATACTGATATTGCATTATTGTTCATATCTACTATGGCCATCAGAAATAAAAAAAGAAAAAAGAAAACCCTAGATTTCAATGCAAAAATATTACGCACTATTTTAAGAATTACCCTTCTGTGAACCTGACAATTTCAAAAAATAATTTCAAACCTGAATAAAGGCAGATGTGTGTTTTCCAGGATCCCACAAAAACTCAACTGCATTGAGTTGGCTTGGATTTGTTTTTATATCAATTACTCCAACAGACATAGGAATATCTATAAAATGAAGAAAAATATTGAAAAATCAATGTTTTAAAACCATAAAAATAATAAATGTTATTTAAATACATAAATCTTTTTTTTAAGTTTTATTCTTTGGTCTTCCAGTGAGTCTGTTAATTTTTGTAACAGATTTTGTAACAGATTTTATGCGCCAACTCAGAAAGCTCAAACTGCCCAAGGAGCTGCTGATATAGTTCTACAGAGGAATTATTGAGTCTGTCATCTACACCTCTATAACTGTCTGGTTTGGTTCTGCAACCCAACAGGACAGGCACAGACTTCAGATGATAATTAGGACTGCAAAAAAAAACAATTACTACCCACCTGCCTTCAATCGAGGACCTGTATACTGCACAAGTCAAAACGAGGGCTGTGAAAATATTTACAGACCCCTCACATCCCGGACATAAACTGTTTCAACTCCTTCCCTCAAAACGATGATATAGAGCACTGCACACCAGAACAACTAGACACAAGAACAGTTTTTCCCCAAAAGCCATCACTCTGCTAAACAAATAATTCCCTCAACACTGTTCAACTATTTACAAAGTCTACTATTACTGTTAATCTTCTCATCACTCCTTATCACCCATCCCTTCCCACTTGTGACTGTAGGACTGTAACTTTGTTGCTTGTATCATTACGATTTATATTGACTGTTTCCTAGTATGATTTGATTGCTGATTTGTACCCTATGACTATCATCAAGTGTTGTACGTTATGATTCTTGATTCTTAACGAATGTATCTTTTCTTTATGTATACTAAAAGAATTTACACCAAGACAAATTCCTTGTGTGTCCAATCACACTTGGCCAATAAAGTATTCTATTCTATTCTATTCTATTCTATTCTATTCTATTCTATTCTATTCTATTCTATTCTAAATAACTCACAAAACAGAACTATAACTTACATAATTCAGTGTACAATATATTATTTAAATCAGGTATTTAAATATTATTTCACAGTAACTCAGTTCTCAGTTTATTTTTATGAATATATTAACAATTCATGATTTTACCTAAATCAAGTAATCGGTCTCCAGGGCGATTCCACTTCCAGCCTTCTAGCTGCTGATGCTCAGTGTACTGCAATCTTCTGTCATGGAATACTACTCTTATGATACTCTAATATAAAAGAAAAAATATCAGCTCTCCCAGTAAAAATAGAATATGTTTTTATCTGGAGATATAAATTTCTTTCAGATATAAAGATACAAATTCCTTTCAGATGATATCCAGAATAACAGTGTTAATCACAAGTATAGAATCATTTCTAATAGAGAAAAATAACCCAAGAGAACATCCACTTATGTGGACCAAATGAATACATTATCTTATAGTTCAATTAAAATAAGTTCATAGGCCTTAAGACCTATGTAGTAAGGCCTGTAGTAATTATTTTTACTACAATCTAACCCTAATTTACATGTTTCAGTTACATCATAAGAATTAGAAGTCACCTCAATTTGCCAAGAGGCAAAGGACCTGTTTTTTATACAACAAAGCAATGAACATTCACAGCTGCAATGACCAGATTTAAGTGCTCAGGCATTCATAATTTAATTTATGAATCAATATTACTTTCTTTTCCCTAACCTGGTGCCCTTAATATAGACAGGGCTACTTTGAATCAGCTGGAATTCTTGAAAGTGTAGTCCCAACCCACCTAGAGATCACCGTATCAGGGAAGATCACAACTGACCGCAGACTAAATGTTACTTGGTTACTGTGTAATAACCACATTTATATCAGGTAATTCAGAAAACAAAGAATAAAACAAAACTTGTACTTCAGGAAGAAATTGCAATTTTCTAACCAGAATTTGGGAGTTCAGCTTAAGATGGAAAACTAAATAAAGGTTTTAAATAAATAAAAACATTTTTCTATTGGGATTTATGAATAATCAATCAGAAAAAATTCATAAGTTATTAATTTTGTATGTTGTAAGAACAAGATTATTTTATGCACAATGTTTGAAAAATACTGAAATATCCACAATGGAGGAATAGAGTATGAAGATGGCAGAATGTGCACAAATGGCAAAATTGACCTGTTTGATCAGAGATAGAACAGTACTTTTATAAAAATATAAAAAGTGTTTCCAAAGACTAGAAATCTTTTATAGAGTTTTTGCTGAAAATAGGGAAAAATGAAATAATTTCTGAAACTTCTGATTAAAAGGGACAGAGACAATATGAATATGGTATAGAGGGAATTATGTGATGTAATTTTAGAGAGGGAGAAAGGATAATAAGCTGGTTTATAACTGCTATAAAAATATTCAGCTGCTTCTTTATCCTTTCTTCTTTATTTGTACTGTTTCCCACACTTTTTATTTTTTTATAATTCGCTTTTACATGTTTTTACACATGTTCTTGTTCTTTTATTAATATAAATATCTTCAATGAAAGTTATATTTAAAAAAGAAAAGAACTCCAATTTTATGAACTGATACAAACTGGTAAACATTACTAGACTCCAGACTTAGTATTATCTTTCATACTAAACCATTGTAACTACGGACATTTACAAAAGTTCCGGATTTTTTTATAATTACCATTCCATATATCACCTATATCTCAAAAAGAAAATAAGCTTTGAATATAATTTTAACAAATAAATTCTTCAAAGTACAACAATTAACAAAAAGAGCTATGTAATCACGTGCTTGCAGCTGCTTTCAATGTTATTTTCCCCTCCTGATAAAGTTATCTGGAAGAAATACTGGAAAAGGAACATTCTTTTCCCAAACCTGTCCCTGCAGATCAGAGTATATCAGAAGCTTCCTCCATACTCCCATTGCGGCATTTTAACACCCAGAGCAAGAAAATGTTACTGTAGAGAAAATAAGAGAGAATTTCAAAGAAACAAGAGTCAAAGCTGAAGTACTAACATACCTTTACTAATTTCCCACTGATCTCAGGCACATCTCCCATTTTTCGATTATCTAACAACCGAATTTCATAGGACTGACCTTCCAAACAGAAAAAGAAAGAGATATATGTGCATGTATACTTAATATTTCTATACAAACTTTTAGACTTTCTCTTTAAAAACAATATACATTTGTTAATTATAACAAAAACATGACATACTATTTGCTTTTTTCTTTACAAAGCAGAACAGGAATGAAACATACATTGTGTAAAAACTAGTTCTGGTTCACCTCTCAAATTCTCAAAATCTTTTTTCAAGTGGAAAGAAAGAAGAGAGACTGAGATGATAGGTTAGTATTGACAATAAGAGATCCACTAAATAAATGCTAGTTCTGAGTAAAACACAGAAAGAGATGTTTACAATGAAACATTTAACAATGTTACATCTTTTGCAAGGCTTAGTCATTCACTTCAGAAACTGTTTCCAGCTCTGACTCTACCTATCAATATAAATAGCCTTTTTATTTTTGCTAGGAACAACCTAGATAAATGCTATATTTGAGATTCACACATATTCTGAAATCTGGATAATCTAGATATGCAAACTATAAATAGCCATTTGTTTCTAAATATGAAACATTGAAACTGCAATAAAGCAAAATACTGTGGTCATCATCACAGTCACCAGAATGCACTTTTAAACTGGTTTCTTATATTAGGAGATTTACACTTGGTCATGATTAGTACGTATAGCAACATTAAGTTAATTGTCACCAATGTCTTTCCAAGTATTATTGAATTTGGCTTCAATCCACTGTTTCCATCTTTTTAGAAAACACTATGGACTACATATGCTATATTTATGTTACAAAATACAAAATTAGCAATAATCTTAAAACAGAAAATATGAATTAAAATATAACATTAAGGTGACTTTCAATGAATGTTATATTATTTAAATATATATGCATAGATTTTATTAATTTAAGTAATAGTAAAGCAAATAAAACAACTTTGAATTAATCAGGAAAACTACATTTCTACTAGTTATTTATTTTGTACTATAATAGCAATAGCACTTAGACTTACATACCACTTGATAGTGCTTTACAGCCCTCTCTAAGCAGAGTCAACATATTGCCCCGAACAATCTGGGTTCTCGTGTGATATACATAACATTTTTTAAAATATATTTTTCTGCTTAGATCACTTTAAAGAGAAAAATTTAAATTAAGTCTGCTAATCTTATTGCATCCTTCTGGTTTCTAGCAAAACTGGCCCTTAACGAAGCATGGGTTTAACAATGTTTGCTTAATGACCAAACATTTGTTTAATTGTTGAAAAAAATGGCAGTAAAATCAGACTGGACCCATGGGTGATCAAAATTATGACCAATATGAGTTACAATTGTAACGGACAGGCTCTGTTACGATAATACCTAAAGGACTACCTGCATATATATTGTAATATATAATATATCAGTGGTGATATTCTACCTGTTTGGCCTGGTTCTGGCGAGCCGGTAGCAGCAATGAGCAGTGGAGACCAAACCGGTTCTCTCCACGGCTCTGCTGTTGGGCCCATCCCCCCGCCCGGGCTCCCATACTCACCTTTATCCGCTGAATTTGAAGCGCAGCTGCTTTGTGCGGCACAGAATAGTGCCACGCGGCAGTTGCTGAAGTGTCCAGGATCATACAGGCTTGCAGGAAGTGAGTTAGAACGCCTCTGCGTCTGCGCAAATGCCTCCATGTCTGCGCAAAGTGCACGTTTGGTGCACGCATGCACACAAAATGTGTGCACGCGTGCAAAGCACGCCCACCAAGCCACGCCCACTGAACTGATGGCAAAAATATTTGAATCCCACCACTGTACTTTATGTATGTGTCTGTGTGTTTGTGCTTTGTATCCCCTTCCCCTTCACAAAAAAAGACAAATGCTTACCTTGATTTAAATAAGTAAGTGTTTCATCATGCAGTTTGATTGCTGGGGATGTTGCAGCAGACATAACATATTGAAATGGAGGATGATTTGTGTCATTATCAGAAGCAAGGCTAGAGTCTTCTTGCTTAAAAATGGGAAGTGCCAGTACATCACTAGGATGGGGAAAAAACATATAACCCAGTTATTTCTCCCTCCCTTTATAAAATATAAATATTTTGGGAAATTCGATATATATGAAATTGTACTTTTCTGATCATACCTAAGGGTCATTCCATGTCAAGAAATCTGATTTCAGAAAAGTGCCCCACTCGATCATCACGGATTTAAATGAAATTTTGTGTAAACATGCCCACACATCCCCAATGAACATTGGTAAAGTGTTAGGTTTGCCGATGCAATACTTGCGGAGTGTCAGATCCTTTATCAGCCTCCGGGGGTGGCGGGGGGGGGGAGGCTGATAAAGAAATCCTTTCTTGATGTAACCTGAATATATTTAATCTTATATCAAATTTGTATAACCCACACATGATACAATGGAAGGAGAAAAGCCAGATGGCCAGAACTATCACCTCTGAGAGGAACAACCAGGAGATGAGAAGGTCATAAAAATTCCACAGTGAGATTGTACTTTGGGAATCTCTTGAATAGTTCGTTCTAAAAAGGGGGTGGGGGGGAATTTAGGTATGCCCTGGGAAACTGTGAAAAGATCGTTTCTTACAAGAGGGGTGGGGAGGAACTAACATACTGGCTTTTGTTTCACTAAATATACATCAAGATAAGGGGAGGGGTTCTAAACTCCCTTATGTATCCCTGTATGCCTGAGAGACCTCAGACGCTGCTTTGAACTCCTACAGGAATTGTCTCATCTCAATAAAGAATTCCTTTGTGATACGTTTGGATACGTTTTCAGAAGTTCATTCTAGTTGAGTGAATGGGAAAAGTTCTGTAGCCTGACATAAAGCAGCGTCTGCAATAGAGGTCAGCCCGGAGAGAATTTTTTTTTTTAAAAAAAAAAACCTTTCACTCTACCGAGGGGACCCTGCAAGAAAGGAAAATGTCTGAGGACAGCAAGGACCAAGGGGAAGCCAAATGCTGGGGAGAAATGTCGACAGGTACCCACCCAGATACTGACTTGGTGCACCCCATCGAAGACAGAGAGGCTGCCTATGAAACCTCTACCATGCCCCGGTGGTCTATAGGTGTAGGAAAAAGAGACAGCTGGGATGGAAGAACCAGAGGAGTAACCTTCAACCGGGGCAATCGTAAACCTGGGTGGAAATTGGAGCTGAAGGCCCTATCGAATCAGGAAGAATGGGACGAGGAGCCACTTGCTGATGACCAAATGAGACGGTACATAAAACGCCTCGTGAGGGAAGCCCTGGAGAACCTCGAGGTGAGGGATGCACCAGGGCAGGAGAGCGAGGGAATCAGAAGACTCAGATCTGCCTGAGTCCACTGCCCTTGTGCCATCTGGGACTGGAGGTGGGCACCCCAACCAAAGAGGCTGGCATCTGAGGTAGTGGTCAAGCAGCTGGGCTCCTTGAAAGTATATCCTTTGGTTATGGCCTGGGACACCCAGCATCAGAAGGATCTGAGTACCTTTGGTGGGACCTGAACCCTGGCATTTGAGTTGCTGCTGTAAGACCTTTCATACGGCAGAAGGAACCACTGTAAAGTCCTGGCGTTCAGCCGTGCCCAAGGGATTATTGATATGCTTTATAAGACAGGCACATATTGCAATAGTACAAATCATTTGAGATACATTCTGCAAGAGAAGTTTATTACTTGTATTCCTTCTAATTACATCCTGTTGAGGTTTTTGGGCCATTTTATCTTCTGTTACCATTTCCTCACAGTGAGAGTCAGCTGATATAGTGATTAAGGCAACATATGAGAAACCAAGACACCAGACACTAGTCACTAGACACTAGATATGCAGGATACCATCTTTCCCAGGAACTGCGAGAGGAGGGCCAAGGAAACAGTTTGTTCCACTTGGAACTGCCTCTTTAATGACCTGATGCTGTCCTGACATTCCTGGGAGAAATAGACCCTTAACGACCTGGTATCTATCACCGTGGTGAGGTGTAACAGACGAGTGGAGGGAACCAGATGGCTCTTCATGAAGTTGACTGAAAATCCATGATCCTGGAGGACTCAGCTCATGGTCTGCAGATCCTCTTGCACCCAAAGGTGAGAGAATAATTGTATCAGGATATCGTCAAGGTAGAACTGGACGTGGATGGGAATTGTCCTGAGGTGCGCTGCCAGTGTCGCTAGCAACTTGGTAAAGGTCCTGGGCGCAGAGGACAGGCTGAATGGCAGGGCTCTATACTGGAAGTGTCACCCTGCATAGCAAAATCTCAGGAACCTTCAGTGGAATGGAACAATAAGCACATGGAGGTATGCCTCCATCAGATCAATGGATGTCAAGAAGTCACCTTCTCTGACGGTCTGCAGGATGGACTGTAGGTACTGCATCTTGAATCGTTTGTAGACCAGGTGGATGTTTAATTTCTTGAGGTCCAAAATTGCTCTCCACCCCCACCCAAGTTTTTCGGGACTATGAAAAAAATGGAATAGAATCCCTGTCCCCGTTGGTCCTCTGGAACTGACTTGATAGCATGAATGTCCAACAGGTGTTGGGTTGCAGTGTCCATGAGACCTCTCTTGCTGTTGTTCTTGGGAACAGGACAATGGATGAAGTGCTTCAGGGATGTGGAGAGGAATTTGAGTGTAAGGCCTAGTCTCACTGTCCTTAGGACCCAAGTATCCATCATGGTCGCCTCTCATTGGTCTGCAAATAGGCCTAGGTGTCCACCAATGGGAGGACTGAACTGGCAGTCACTTGGAGCGACAAAAGGGATGACTTCCTGACCCATGAAATGGCCGCTTGGCTTGAAATTGTTGCCTGGATCTATCCCAAAACCCGGATCTGTCCGGTTGGCAGTCTGGTCGTTGGGAATAGGGCCTCTGATGTTGAGGAACGTCAAATCTGGTGTCTGTGGGCTGAAAGGGTGGTCTGCAATAATTAGGCGAGGGTGGGGGGTCTGCTTGCCTGAACATGGAAGGTAGGACCTTTCTCCTAACCTTGTTTTCCACCAGGATGGGATCCAGGGACTCCCCAAATAGCTTGCTCCCCTTATAGGGAGCAGAGGCTAGCCTCCACTTAGACCTCGTGTCCACCTGGCAGTGGCAAAGCCATAGTAGACAGTGGGATGTTAGGCAAGGGCCCTGGAGGTGAATCAAGCTGCGTTCAAGGTAGCTGAAAATTCTGTTGCTGCCACCAGCTTGTTGATATCCTGACAGAGCTGAAGATCCTCCGGTGGCACTCTCACTTGCATCTGGCAAAGCCAGAGCAAGGAGGTCCTGTTAAAAAAGGAGGTGACCATCTCTGCCTTGACTGCCCAGGAAGCCTCCTGATGGGTCTTGCGGACGTTCAGCTCTGCCCTCCTGTACTCTGTCTTCAGGCTCTCTGCTATGTCAACAGACAGAACAGTGAAAGAGGTCAAGGCCGCCACCGACCCATCCACTGGGGTCTAGCAGGCTGAAACCCCATTTTAAATTTTTCTCAATAAAAGACCGCAATTCCTCCAGTTCTCGCAGTGTCATTGAATACAGTTTTGGCTTTGGAAGCTTCACTCCAGGAAGGATCTCTATGCTGCAATCTGTGAGGTGATGTGGGGGGAGCATGTCCGAAGCCTTCTCTCTAAAAACCTCCCTGAGGTCCCAATATTCTTTTGGATTTTTCTCTTCCCCCATGATGTGTTCACTTGCCACCGATGCCAACTCCTTGGTGTCCTGGGACCTTACTAGGTTTCCCCCCCTCCTGTGCTTGGGTGGAGCGAATGTGCAACAGACCCTTCCTACAGTTCACCTGAGGGTTCCATTTCCGAAGCCAGGGTAATCTGAGTAAGAGGGACTGCTCCATCCAGGGGGCCATGATAAAACACAAAGTCTCCTGGTGTTTTCCCATCAACATTTCCACTGGCTCCATTACAAAATGAGCCGGACCACCCCATGACACCGATCCATCTAGTTGGCAAAATGCACTGAGAGTTTTCAACATTCTTAGTCTCAATCCCAGTTTATCCATGATCTCTTATGCATCTAGTATATCCAGAATCCAACAGAGCCAACATCTTTCCCTGGGCGCTGGATGAAGGCACCCTTAATTCCACTGGGATGGTCATGGGGCCCATTTGTTGACTTATCAGAGGGTCATCATCGGAATCGGACTCGCTTTCGCCCAAAGCGGTCAGAGTTCCCAACTCCTCTTTCACTGGAGAAGCGAACTCAATGACTTCCACGGCCTTCAGTGCCATTTCATGTGGCTTGGCTGGAGGTTTTTTGACTTTCTTCCCTCTGGCCAACGTTCCTTTGACATCCAGTTTAGTGCGGCAATCGGAAGCTCGACAATCCTTCTTCCCGCATCAGAAGCATGCTGTGGATTTGGGTTTCACAGCTGACCCGCTTTTTTGAACTTTAGGAGCCTCTCGGGGAGTGGTAGGTGAAAGTTTACTTCAGTTGGGGCCACTCCTGTTTCTGGTCAGGTCAATTTCCACATCAACTGCCAACACAAACCAACATTGAAGATCTCGAGGAGCCCCTCTGGAGATAAAGCTTTGGTAGACGTCCTCATTCAGCCCATCTTTGAAAGCTTCCATAAGGGCCTCTTGGGACCAACCTCGCATATGGCATGCCAACTCTCGAAATTCCTGGCTGTATTCAGCTACTGACTTTCGCCCCGGTTTACGGTTTTCATCCTAATTCTTGTCTAATGTTCAGCAAGGGGATCTTCAAACGGAGTACGTAAGGCTACCATAAACATGTCATAATCCCTTAGCTGAGGGGCATCATCATTATGAAGGGTGGCCATTCATTGGGCTGCAGTCCCTTCTAGGGCTTTGGTGACACATCTCACTTTGGCTGCTTCTGAGGCAAAATCATCCCCATATTCCTCCATATTATTCCAAACTTGAACTAAGAAGAAACCCAACTCCTTGGAATCCCCTCCGTATTTTACTTCCAGCAGAGGAACTTTTGGAATTTGGCACCCCCCACCAGGAGGGGCCTGGGCTACCACAGCCGCTGGCATTCCTGCAGCCTGGGCTGGCCCCAGCTGGGCCATGGGAAGCACTTCTGGGGCTGC